CTCGGTTTGGTTTCTGGCATCTTTGAGCCCCCGACCGTTCTGGGCGCCCCTCCCCGCGCAGGACAGCTGCGGAGGTTCTAAGGCCCGGCACACTGAACCGTCAACATCTGCCCGAAGTCTGCACGGCCGGGAAAGGTTTATGACTCTCCGGGCTTCCGAACTGAAGTTTATTTGCCATTATTTTCTTTCTTTCGTTTGCGACGGAATCGGATTCGAAGATTTTGTTTTCTGCCTCCCTTTCCTTTTAGTCTGTGGTACCAGCGGGGGAAATAAACAAAACCCAAATAAACCCAAGGCTGTGCTGAGGGGCTGCGGTGGGGAAGTCACGGTTATTTTGATCTTAGAGTCTGAGCTGGCTAGGGAGGAAAACGAGGAGCAAGCTGGGGTGGGAGGGGTGGCTGTCCTTGTTTGCCCCAAAGAAATTGCCTGTTAAAGGATTGTGGGCTGTCTCTGTGTGAGCCGGGGGGAAATTACAGCCCCCAGTTTGGTAAATGTTGAAGTCGTGGTCGGCCGATCCGTGGCGGCGGATTTAAGATTTGTTAAAAGCACCGCCACAGATGTGGCTCTTCAGAACTTCGCCCCTCATCTCCTACCACCCCGAAAATAAAAACTAAACCGAGTCCAGGCCGGCTCCCCCAAACCAAGCCCCACATATTTATCGAGTGGGGTCAGTTTCCAGTAGGGAGCAGATTGCAGGGCTCGGCTCCAGGGCACCTGGTGGTTGGGGAGCGGCATTATGTTTTTCTGGGTTCGCAGGTTCGGCGCCAGGTTTGGAATTGTGCAAAAAGAGGGTTGAAGATGCAGAGATTTATTTGTGCTCTTTGCTGCTCAGCCGCTGCCTTCCCCAGCGATGCGCCTGGAGGCTGACCTTCCGGGGAGCTGGAACCCCTATAAGACCCCCCACCCCGCGCGCGCTCAGCCATCTCGTGTTTTTTTTGGCCCCTCTCCCTTTTCTTTTTTTCCCTTTCTGTTCTCTCCGTCCCCCTCTCTTGCTGTCTCTGTCTTTGCGTGTGTGTCCCTGTTTGTTCCCGTGAGCGCGTCTCCGGCCTTGGCCCGGGCTCCCAGTCCGAGAGAAGCGGCGTTCGGTGCGCCGGCCGTGGCTGCGTTGCTTGCTCATTCGGGGCTCCCGGGACGAGGCTGGGAAAAGAAGGCAACTTCCCGGCCTCGCGGGGACCAGCCGAGCCTCCCTAGGTCTAACCGCCGCCCTTCCCTCTCCTCCGGCACTGGCAGGAGAGCAGTGGCCGCAGTGTGGGCCGTGGGGCAGCTGGGACTGGAAAGGGGACCTTGGCGGGTGCAAACGCGCGGGTGTGCCAGCCGGCGTCTGCGCGCATGTGTCCGGCTGCGGGGACGCGAGCTTGTTTGTGGAAGTGTCCCACATCCTGGGGCCCAGCCACCCCGACCCCTTGCAAAGCCCCTCGCTCTGGGGGACCGTCCTGCCCAAGCGCGGTGGCACCTTATTAAGAGGATGAGCCGGGGGCGGGGTGCGGCGGGGGCGCCGTCGGTGCCCCGGGCCTGGGCTTAGGGAAAAGGCGGCCAGG